AGGCATTAAAGAAAGCATTACAGATTTCCCTTCCATGGCTTACTGCTAGTCAGTCTAAAGGCATCAAAGAGATGGAGTGTACTGCTGTGCATTCAAGACCACATCCAGTGACAGGAACTAATGAACGCTATAGCCTCTATGATCGATTTCACCAGAAGAATAAAAAATGCCCAGTAGAGAGACTGAGAAGTCTAGATCTTGTTCCAGAGCTTCGCTCCACTGTAAACACAGCAGTGGCAGAGCAACTTAATCGAGAACTGGCCTCAAGCCGGTATTTCTTTGTACTATGAAGGACAGGCACTTCATGTTTTCTTTGAGACTCATGTTCCACCTACATAATCAGAAAGTAAATCAGAAATTCAAAGAAGACATGATGAGAATTGCATTGGACCCATTAGAAGTAGACAGCAGTGGAAGACTTGGTATTTCTGGAACAGGTTTGTGTAACTGTTATTTGCATTTCATAATTTGAATCAGTAAAAGGTGAGGAACTACTGAAGTATTGTTTAAATTATAATTGGCAGCACTCAAGAAAGAAGGGGTGAAGGAAGGTATGGAAATGAAAGGGTTGCCCCTAGAAGAAGAAAACAGCAAGAGCTGGCAGCACTTTTCAGTTGGTCTTTTTCCAATTGACCAGTCAAATGAGGTACGTTAACTTTTAAAAAAAGTAAGCAAAATGGAATGTATCACTACATAACTGTGTCTGTTAAAATGTTGTAATGCCTATAATGTTTAGGAAAAATTAGCAGTCCTTTTTGCTGAAGAAAAAGAGGAGCATCTGACCATAATAAGGATTGCAAACTGCAATGCCAACCTTCATGATCTTAAACGTTTGTGCCCCCCTGAAATAATGTGCACTGAGCAACGGTCAACTGGAAAAATCAAAATGTCTTGGCTGACAGATTGCGTGAGCATAAATCTCACAAGCACATTTTATGACAACAGAAAACAACTTTAAGATTAAAGAATGAATTGAGCTTTCTTTTCTCACAGGTAGTAGACACAAGACTTTCTCAGTTGGTGGAAGGAACACAGAATGTAAATTGTTCTTACTTAAATATTACTGCTAAAGATATTAAATGTTCTAAAATTTTTAAAATGATACTAAATGTGATTTTATTCCAGGTCATCCTTATTCCAACATTTAATTTTATACTCTGGTGGAGAGACTGGCAAAAGAACAAAGCCATTCAAGATGTGCATTTAAAATGCATAAAGGTATTCTCTGCTAACCAAAAAGTGTCAATATTGACTGCATACCCTGTGAAGTTCTATCACTGCATTTTCCAATAAATCCATGCTTCATTTTAATTGTAGGATGTAAAGGAAAACACAAAAGTGCTCATTCCCCGTGTTGTTGGACACCAAACTCCAGAATCTGGAAACCACTTTATTTTGTGGGTGAGTATAGTTGTTTGGAAAAAGAGAAGTCGTATTATTAGTTTTTTATTAAAGTCTTGGCCATGATAACAAAAATAATTTTTACTTTTAATCTTTTTAGGTCTTTGACGGTCTGACATCTGAAATCGGATTGTATGATTCTTTGGGGAAAAACAAAACAATTGAGGCCCAGGACATGGAATTGTTATGGTACATATTTTATGTCCACCTTACTGAGAGAACATAGCTACATATTTCTTTTTAGATCTTGTTTGTTGTATATTATTTGATACTGCTGTTTAACTACTTCTGTTTGTATACTGTATTATAAGATGGAAATATGACTAGACTGAATTATAATGCATTATAATGCAGGTGTAGACTGATTGTTCATAAGCTTTGTTATTGTTATCTAAAGGTGCATAGAACCTAGTTGTCAACATACAGTATGTTGCTAATGGTTTAAGCTGGAATAATTTAAGCTTGAAGTTTAACCAAAGGGATTGTCTTTACAAATGGTTTCAACAACTTTTTGGACAGATTCATCTGATGCATCCACAAACCATAATGTTTTTTTATTCAAATTGTGTTTTTGTTTTTCAGTAATGCATTTCAGAACATCTGGGACTTGGGCACTTGGACAATAAAGAGTCCAGCTCAATGGAAGCAGTCTGATTCAGATAACTGTGGGGTATTTGTTTGCACGGTAAGTATCTATCAATTTTTTATATATATATATATATATATATATTATACAAGGTATATACTATGTGAACATCTCAAAATAGATGGCGGAACTGGAAGTTAGAAGAATCAAAGCTGCAAATAAGACTCTGTTTCAAAAACAGTTACTTTACCTGCATAGATATCATGCAGCTGCATTAGCAGCAGAAGCTGTTCTGCCAGTAAGTTGATGGTTTATTTATTTATTCATTTATAAAACCTGCATCTTCTACTAAAATGCCAACCTGTGTCAGTGACAACACTATATTTTAATCATTGTTTATTATAGAGACTCGCAACACATGATACCGATTGCTTGGCTAGCAAAATTTATGCATGCACGTACCAGAGCATGTCTGGACAAAGAGCAGAGAGGTATATTATACATACTCCTCAACAATATTTTCATTCGAATGTTGGTAAAACCATTGTTCTGACTAATTTAATTGTTGTGAACTTGTATAGATCCCTATATCCAGATGTTTCTAAATTCACCTGGGTACAGTGTGAAGTCTGCGAAAAGTGGTTACACACAGACTGTGCTGGTGTACAGCAAGAAGACCTCCTGAACACAAGCTTTAAATGTGGATGCGACATGCCTTCCCCTTACCCACATGCAAAGTAAGTGACTGCTCCAAGTTATGATGGAAAAATGGCAAATTGTACTAAACATATGCTCACTGTAGGAACATCCATTTAGTGAATTAATTATGTTTCCTTACAGTCTCCTCTCAGTTCTTTGTCAGAAAGGTGTGGGAGGCTTGATAAGTGATGAAGAAATCCAGGTAATTACAATGCTTCCAATTATTCTTCTTATTCTTATATTTTCTGTTGTTGTCCCTTTAAGACTTTTAAGGGTTTTCAAACCTGTCAGTTATGCTTTTTTCTTTTTTTCACATCTCTATTTAGTAAGTTGACTTGGGATGTACACATTTATATTTTTCACTCCATAATTTTTTAATAATTTGTTTCATTATTCAGTTTTTACATTTAAAGTAGATTACGTCAGTATTATTTTTTTTTTAACCTGAATGCAATCAGATTCTCTCACTAATGTCAAGTGTAAAGCCAGTACAGAACAGTAGAGACACTCACTGCAGTAGAGGGGGGACACACTTGTTTATACCCTTTATTTTGGACAAAACATTGGATATGCAGGTGTCTACAAACTTTTGACCATACTGTGTAGTTTAACATTTGGCATTGCACTAGATGACCTAAAATACCACAAATCAGAGTACTGCTGTAAGTGTTAGTACACTTAGTAGTGCTGTTAGGGTCTTTCCTTTTTTCAACTGTGAATGTAAATAAAAGTTTCATACCGTGAACTATATCAGTCAATACAGGGCTTTGCTTTAAGTGTTTTTCACACTGACTATTTTCTTAACTTGCAAGCATTGTAGTTCCTTGAAGAAATACATGCATATCAGGTTAATTTCATTTCTTTAGCTAATAATACAACTTACTTTCAATAGGAGTTATATAGGCAATTGTCCAGTGGTGCGAAGAAGTCAGCACGAATGTTCCTCTGGAGCCATCCCAACAAGTGTATGAAGCTCCGGACCATACTCGGGCCTAGACTGCCCAAATTTAGCACGGAACGAGTGAGACTTTCTTTGATAGCTTGGCTGCTGCAGTTCACCATAACTATGTTTTCCTTTTTTACTCATGTATAATTTAATGGAATGTTTTCAAATATTTGTGTATTTTTTAGATTGATGAGCTGTATGAAAAAATTCAGACAGCTTTGTGCTTGGACAAGAAAGACCTCAGAAGTGTTGACTTTATTCCAGATGTTATGCTGCCAGAGGTAGGAAGTTCAATAATTACAGTATGTCTCATTCAAAATAGAACTTGTACATTACCAACAATCTAATACTACACTGCTAAATATAATTTTAACCTGCTAATAATTTTATTTCCACTACCACTGCGGGTGACTCTAGAGATACTGTGCAAGCATGAAGGCTTTCACCGATACCAAGGAGAGATGTCTCTTGCTACTTCAGGTGTCATTATTTGAAGAAGAAAGCCAAAGGGTAGCTTTATATATACAGTGTGCACATATGACTAATTATTCTTTGTTGCATTTTATTTTATTAAGCTGTATTGTGATGTAGTAATCACCTTTTATTTGTTATATTTACATTTTTTTATTAATTGATTTTTCTAAAGTTGGCTTGTAAAATGTGTAATATAAGCAACTGAACAATTTAATGTTAAATAAATAGCTTATAGTCCAAAAGTTGTTTGATATTTTAATGCTTAGCACACAGCACTAATACTAAAAAGTCCATATTACCTTTTAGAAGGCTAAATAAATGTCACTGTTTACAAAGCTCCAATCATGGGGAAAAACAGGATTTCTCATCCAGCAAGATAACTTAAGCTCAAAGTTCAACTGTCCAATTGGAATATTCCTCAGCTCTTCTCAAATTAAACAGGGTTAACCTTAAGCTTAATTTATCTGGCTAAACTGAATAATACTGCTAAATACCCCTGCTCTGAATAGTATGGTTTTCCCTACTCTTATACACACCTGAGCTGTATCTTTCGCTAAAAATCTCTACTTTCTTGAGCTAAAAACTGTGCAATTACAGGGCAAAGTATCAAACCTATCCATTGTCTATGTTCCCTTTAGGGTCGCCATAAGTGCAGAACATTCATAACCACATTGTGTACACACTCAGGCCGCTGTTCTTCTGTGTGTATCGGGACAGAGGCCGCCGTTCCGCAGTGTGTACCGGGACAGAAGCCGCTGTGTGTACCGGGACAGAGGTCACTGTCCCGCTGTGTGTACCGGGACAGAAGCCGCTGTCCCGTACTTCCGGCATTGCTGTGACGGAACAAAGGGGGACGGCACAGTAACATCTCGGCTACAACCAGCTCTCTGACGGGGCTCAGAAACGGATGACGGATGATAAACTGCCAGTTGAACATTACTGCTCCTAGCTAACAGACTCGTAGTTAGGGCTGTGAATGGGCACAAATGTTATCGCTTTCTTTGTACACATCATAATGTGCCAGTTGGTAGGCATCACCCAGCACTACGCAGTGGTTATATTAAGTATAATACATGTGGTATTGATGTAGGATATCACATCACCCTATATGTTTAAATCTTCATCCTTGGGAGTAATAGTGTTTTGCAGTGGTTTGCATTTAGTTACCGACTGAAGGGTTTTTTAAACCAGTGGTAATTGAGTTTTTACTGTCATTGGGTGCTTTTACCTCAGTAACTTGTATAACCGTGACCCTCTAACTGTCAACAGGCACAAGCCTAGCTTTTGCAAGGGGCCAAAATATTATTGAGTGGGGACGCAAAACTATTGTGAGTGAATGCAAAACATTTGCAGCGGTGGCTGCTTGCTGACTGTAAGTCAGGGGCCATATTACAGAAACATCTTAACTCTGAAATCTGATTAGTCTCCATGACGACTGAATTCAGGACAGTCGCTATTCCAGAATAACAGTTCCTAACTTCATAATCTCATCATTAACTCCAGACAAGGAAACAGCATCACACAAACATCCTAACTAGACTAAACCTCCTAAATCCTGTCCTAACTTTAGGATGAACCCCAACAGCGTCCTAACTTCTGTTTCAGGTCCGTTTCTATGGTTTTTAGGCAGCTGTGTCAGCAGCATAGTTCACTACCAGCATAATGAGCTCCATTTATTTCTACTGTAAAACGCTGCTTTCACTGTGAGATGATTTTCTTTTCTAACTCTGCGTTTTAAAGATCTCAGACGCTGCAGACTTGATCTCCACCGTCCCTCTGATTACCTTCGTGTGTTAATTTTGATGATGAAATATTACAGTGATGGTGGTGAATAATGAGGAGACGGAGCTGAACGTGTGTCTGTTTATTAGAAGAAATAACCTTAGCGTGCTCGGCTAAAGCGTTTGGGAAATGGAGCTGTGACGCTCTGATAAACGACAACGGGGAACACTCACAATGTTAATCTCCAGTTTATTACCTTTTTGTTTTGATCTTTTTATATCTGTAACGGTAGCCGTAACTTACATTTGTAACATTTGTTAATTTGAGAATGTGTCTACGCTTCAGCTGTGTGTGTATGGTCGGTTGCTAGGTAACAGACATGACAGTTGATTGTCAACTTTGATTGAGTAGGTTAAGATTTCCTAACTGGAGATAAGACGGTGTAAGATAAGATAAAATTCCTAAATTAAGATCAGATTTCTTCTGTTATATGAATTTGTGAAAAATCTTATCTGGACCTGTCAGATCTTAACTTAAGACTAAAAGACAGTTTCTGTAATACAGCCCATGGTCAACATCTACAATTTTTTTTCAGTGACATCTGTAAAGGATTAGCTTGACTGCAACTCCCAGCTTCCTGTAGTGAGAAGTTACTCTTCTAAACTGGGCATGTTTTTCAGTTGTATTTGTGAAAGTGTTTTTCTGCAGATTTATTTCACAAACTGATTTTTTAAAATACTTGGTGAAATATTATTAGTGGATGAATGACTGTAGGCTCTTTTTCACAATTACAAAAGCTACTTTTGAAATGGGCTTATTTTTACTGACATCTACCTTTCAGCATGACTGGCTGATAGCGGATACCGAACGAGGGTGGGGTTGGATGCCACATTTAAATGTGCAGAAGCAATTCACAACAGCAAAACAAATACACCTCTTCCTTCAGTTTTCCTTTGAAAGCTCTGCCCCCCAAATTTATCAATGAGCACTGCCAAGACAAATTACACTTTTTTTTAGATTTTTGTGGACATAAAACCATTTGCAAGCATTGTACCGATAAATGCCATGATATAACATTAGAGTAAACAACAACACGGCAAGTTATATAACTAAGCAAGTTGTGGGTTAACAGTCACTACAGTTGCTACTGTGAAGCTAACCACAAACATTAGGATAATAAAATACTAACCTTCTCATTCTGTGAAACAGCAGAAATAAGTTGATGTAACCCACCTGCCCAGCAAAAACAGAATAACAGCCTCATCCCTTTTCATGCCTTTCAGCCCTCGAAGCTGAAGTCAGCTTCTTTTTCGCCAGCTTCTTATTTGAATTTTCCCATTAAATGGTGCAGCAATAATAAACTGGACCCTATGCAACTTAGCCAGCCTTTAGGACAAAACAGTCCTCTTGCTTCACATTTTTAAATGTTAGCTAACATGCGAATCCTCAAAGCGTGTGAATTACAGTTCTACACATTCACACAGCAAGTTTCCTGTGCAATAGGAGCCAAATATGTAATAAGATACCTCAGGAAAAATGTTTTTTATTAGTGAAATAAATATGACAAGACTGAAGTTGGCTTCCTATTTGTCAGTTTCCTCTTCCACCTTAAATGGTGCAGCAGTTACATTCTGGCGCCTCAGGCAAAATATGGCTCATATATTTTACGTCACTGATCAGCTCTCAGGATTGGCTAAGTTACAGAAATATTGGCCGATCGTTGATCGCATATTTGGACTGAAAATCTGCCGATATCAATACATATCAGATCGATCCTTCCATCTCTAGTAAAGACTGTTTATTTCTCATAAAGCTGTAACAACTGAATTTTATAGATTAATTTGCAGTGTTGATAACCAATCATTTAGTTTTTTCTTCTCACCTTTTAATCTGTTTTAGAGCCTAAATGAAAAGGAGGGAGCCCCCATTAACGAGCTCTGGAGTCAGGCGTAGGGCACGTTTATCATTAGTGAAACGACTCCATGACATAGCTGAAGACTGTCAGTTAACATCGGAACAGACAGTAGTTAACAGACCAGACCCTTGTCACGCTGCTTATGACACTGACAGTGACATTGACAGTGACAGTGATGACGACTTTGACACTGGGCTCAGTGTGGGAGAAGAAAGGACATATGATTTACTTGGACCGGGCAGACAGAATGACTTAGACTGTACAGTCACACAGGTTAGTTCAGGGTCTGAGGCTGAAGACTTTACAGATGCACCAGTACCCTTAGTTGAGAGGCTGTCAAAATGGGCTGTGCGTTTTAACATCTCTTTAGTGGCTCTGACAGCCCTCCTTTGTGTGTTGAGGGTGTACCATCCAGACCTGCCCAGGGATGCGCGGACTGTTCTCAAAACACAAACTCAGTATAGCATCCACAGACAAGCTGGAGGGCTGTACCATTATAGAGGCATTTTGACATCACTTCGTAATACTTTATCACATGTGATAGACACAGTCTCTGAGGGATTTACGTTTAGATTACGAATAAACGTTGATGGGTTACCACTGTTTAAAAGCACAAGCATACAATTGTGGCCAATCTTAGGACTTCTGCTAAGTGTGCCAATGAAGGAACCAGTTGTAATTGGTTTATTTTGTGGTAAGAAAAAACCAAGTTGCCCTAATGAGTTTTTGAGAGATTTTACATGCGAATTACAACAGCTACAAGGAGGTTTTTTTTTCAGCCAAAAAAAAGTGTTTATCAAGCTTGATTCTGTTATCTGTGATGCACCTGCCAGAGCCTTCATAAAAAATGTGAAGGGCCACAATGCATATCATGGTTGTGATAAATGTTGCCAACCAGGCGTTTACATTAACAACCGAATGACTTACCCCTTAAATGATTACACTTTACGGACTGACATTTCATTTTTGGAGAGAACTGATGAGAGCCATCACCATGAAGGACCACATGGTTTTGCCAATCTAGATAGTAGTTATTAACCCCGGTAAATGTCAAAATGATTTATGAGTTATGCGTGACGTCACATGTGAAATATGTAAAGTATTTTCCCAGGGGGTTGATGTGTATAAAAATGTAAACATCAGTGGTATGACATCACATGTGAAATATGTAAAAAAATTTCCCAGGGGTTGGTGTGTGTAAAATGTAAACATCAGTTATATGACATCACATGTCAAAATTGCAACTAATTTTCCCAGGAGGTGATGTGTGTAAAAACTGTGAACAACTATTGTAGGTTGTAAAGATTTTCCGGTGATAAAATGTTGAATTTTCCCCAGGGTGCGTGTTGGGAGGGGTGGCAAGCGTGAGCAAAATTTTCCCCTCTTGAGAAGTGTTAATGAAAAAAATGATGTAAAAGTTTAAAGGGGTGTGAAAAATTAAGAGTAAGGATGAAAAAGAAAAAAAAAAGATGCGAGGACTTACCGTCGGTGGGGTGGTTGGGTCGGGGTATGGTGTGTGTGTGTGTGTGTGTGTGTGTGTGTGTGTGTGTGTGTGTGAATGCTTTTTGATAACTACCCGAGGTTTGCCCGGTATGATGCGTGGGAATAATTTTCAAAAGATTCCCAGGATGTGTTTTGGAAAAAAAGATGTGTTTTGGAAAAAAAGATTCCCATGATGTAATGGTATGACGTAGTTATTGTTGTTGTGTTTTTGAGTGACAGCAGCAAGTGGGGGGCCCCCGTTCTGCTAAGCGTGACTAATAATTGAACAGGTGTCGTGTTGTTTTTCTCCTCACAATACTATAAAAACTGGCCTAGAGCCATAATAGTTGTAAAAGTTACTCATTATGGACCAGTTTGCGAGCAATTACAATACCCCTGCTGGGGGTGAAGCTGAGGTGATAAACTTATCGACCGACTCCGAGTACGAGTCTGACACCGAATCTGCGAGAAGTACGATGGTTCTCACAGATTCTGACGAATCATCCACAGTGGAGGATGGTGTTGTTCGCAACACCCCAGAAAAGGACACGCCAAACTCAGCTGTCGTTCAGGAAAGACCCAGCGTGATCGTGTGGCGATCTTTCAGCGGCACAGGTTCAGACGAATCACTCAGAGCGGGGGCGGTGGATGAAGTTATTTGTATCACCCCTGAAAAAGATGCGACAAACTCGGCGGCGGTTCAAGAAAGACCCAGCGTGATCGTTTGCAACGTCACCAACTGTGTCAACTGTATCACCGCCAGGAGGAGGAGGAGGAGGAGGAGGAAGAGATTCCGGGGGTTTGTCAGCCACGACCCGGTGACCGTGTTTGCAACACGCCGAAAGTCGGTGCCAACACAGGTGACGGACCGTCGATCGCAGATTACAGCCCGGTCTCCGATTACGAGGAGTGAGTTGATGAGTCGAGAGTTTCTGCTAATTTGACATCAACGATGAGATCTGTTTTATTTAACGACAACGCTGTATCTTTTTTTGATGACAGGATACAGAACGACGAATTTGAACATGTTGCGACAAACGGAGGTGTAAACTTTCTAAACGTCGAAGATCCGGTCGATTTGTTTGAACTTGAAACTTTAGTGGACAGAACTTTTCGCTGCGACTTCATTCAATAGAATGAGTGTCGCTCAGCAAAACGATACAGGAATATTGACCGAAGCTGAGGATGGATTACCGTCGCAGAACGAATGGGATTTATCGGATTTTACCTCACACGCTGACGATGGAGCGAATCAGGATGTTTTTATGCAGCATATCAACGCATCGACTTTGGGGGAGTTACCACCGCAGAGCGAAGGACACGCGTCACACGTTAACGATGGAGCAAATGGGAGCGCTTCGACGGGGTGTGAACGGAGGTGTCAGGCGGCAGACCCTGAAATTCACGCAGAAGACCTTTCGATCAGCAGGCCCTCCACAAGCGGGGAGGGGGATGGGGTGAGGGAGAGACACAGACCCATGTTTAATCACAGTGAATACAATTATCAAATAAATTTATCGGATCTAGGTACAGGTTTGAATTTATTTCAGTTCACGCAGGCTCTACACAATCGAGTAGATCGTTTGTTACAAAAAGCCAGACAGGTTTCACAAGGGGATGACATTATACAAATAAGTTTGAAAGGTGAAAGCCTGTTCTCGCCCGTGATATTTCAAACTAACGCAGAGGAGCTGAACGCTGAACATTTTCTGAATTACGTAGAATCGGTTGTTCAATCAAATAAAAAACTGTTAAGCGACAAATCACTCACACTGAACGTTCAGATAGTGAGAAACTTTCGAGGCGGAATAGGTTATTCCAGAATGATAAACAGTATTTTGTCATCGGAAATACTTACAAAAAAAAGTAGGCATTTAGTTATATTTTTAAACGCTTACCAAAATTCCTGCTTCGCGTGTAGTTTGACGGGTGTGATGAAACCGGGTTTGACCCAAAGCGAGTGTCAAAAGGAAGCTCTATTACTTTTAAATCGGTTAAATATTTCACCGGAACATTTAGTTTCATTTAACGACGTGACTTTATTCGAACAGTTTTTAAACGTCAAAATTGTGATTCTTTACAGAGTAAACAACGGTGGTTCGTTTCAGACTTTCCAAACGCATGAACAGCCGCACGAGAAGACCTATTACCTTCTTTTGCTAAACAATCATTATTATGGTATTTTAAATTTAAAAGGTTTTCTCGGTGTTAAACATGTGTGCAAAGCCTGTCACAAGCCGTATTCGCACAGTAAATACACGCACCGCTGCGATTTTATGTGTAACGTGTGTCAGAGGGTTTGTTTAAAAACCGAGAACATTTTGAGGTGCGCGGAGTGTCTTAGATTCTGCAGGTCACAGGATTGTTTTTCACACCACAAACGAATGGGTTATTGTGAGAAAGTTAAATGGTGTGAAAACTGTAATCGCTCATACATAGTGACGACCAAACACCACAAGTGTCCCCGGACCACGTGTAACATTTGCAAGTCGCCTTTAGCCGAGAAAGAGGATCCCTCTAAACACCAATGTTTTATCAGGACCACTTTGCCGAGGCCGCAAACGCAGAAATATGTATTTTTTGACATAGAGTCCCGTTTTACGGAACAAAACGAGCACGCGGCGATACATATACACACCGTCACGTACGAAGGTCGACATTGGTGCGCCACGGGTCACGACTGCATAGCAAAGTTTTTTAAACGTTTTAGAAAAAACAGATACAAAAAGTATACATTTATCGCTCACAACAGCAGCGGTTATGATTCGTATTTTATGCTAAATTACCTAACAAAGAACAAAATAGTACCGCATCTCATTACTCAAGGAAATAAAATCTTATGCATGACCGATATTTTTTTCAAACAACGTTACATACACAGCCTGAGCTTCTTCCAAACAAAACTGGCTGATTTACCCAAAAGTTTTGGTTTTGAAAATGAGAAAAAGGGTTATTTTCCTCATTATTTTCACACAAAAGATAATTTGTGTTATGTTGGACGTTACCCGAAACCTGATATGTACGGATATTCACAAATGGCTCCTACGGAGCGGGCTGAATTTATAAACTGGTACGATTCTGTAAAAAACGGTGTGTTTAATTTAAAAAAGGAGCTGTACCAATATTGTAAGAATGATGTGGTTATTTTAAGAAAAGCCTGCATGATATTCAGAGAACGAGTGCTGTCCATGGCCAACGTGGACCCGTTTCAACACGTCACCATAGCCAGCGCCGCGCTAAGCCTGTACAGAACAAACTTTTTGCCGGATAGGTGTCTGGCCTTAACGGGGCCGCGTTATTTTATGAAAAAAAAAAGTTTTTCAAATTGCAGTATACAGTGGTTAGAGTTTGTCAAGTTCAAGGAGAACGTTTTTGTCCAACACGCGCTGAACATGGGGGAAAAGAAAGTCGGATCTATTTTTGTGGACGGGTTTTGCGAACGGACCAACACCGTGTTTGAATTTCTGGGCTGTGTGTTTCACGGGTGTCCGAAATGTTCGGACCCTAACGCCGAAAACCCTCTGACCGGTGAGTTACAAGGTGAACTTTATCAACGCACCACGGAACGGTTGGAATATCTGAAATCCTTGGGATATAACGTTAGGATCATGTGGGAACATACGTGGATTAAGCTGAAAGCGGACAACGGGGACATTTTTGAAAAGCTGTGATTTTCCGGAGAAAATGAACCCGAGAGACGCTCTGTACGGCGGACGGACCAACGCCATCCGTTTGCTGCACAAAACCGCCCCGGACGAAAAAATCCATTACTTGGACTTTACGAGTTTATATCCTTACTGCAACAAGCGTATGGCCTACCCCATTGGACACCCGACGGTGATTGTGACCGATTTTAAAGACATCAGAGAGTACTGTGGCATCGCCAGAGTCAAAATCTACCCCCCAAGAAATCTTTTCCACCCCGTGTTGCCTTTTAGATGTGATAAACTAAACAGATTAGTTTTCACCCTTTGTAGAACCTGCGCAGAGGAGGAGGCCGGGGACGCGTGTCGACATTCGGAAGAAGAGAGAGCCATAACGGGTGTTTATTGCACGGAGGAGATCAAAAGGAGTTTAAACCACGGCTACACGATCGGGAAAGTGTACGAGGTTTGGCACTTTGAGCAAAACTCAATCATCGATTTACATTTGAAAAACAAAGTGGAAGCCAGCGGTTTCCCCCCGGGCGTGAACACCGACGCTGAGAAAAATGACTATTTGTTTAGGTTTAAGCGACACGAAGGTGTCCAACTGGTTGTGTCAAAAATCAGATTTAACCCCGCTCAGAGGAGTATTAGCAAACTGTTTCTGAACGCTCTCTGGGGGAAATTTGGACAGAGAACGAATCGGATGAACACGGAATTAATAACGGAGCCTCGTGACTTTTTAGAACTGATGTTTTGCAAACATAAACGCATTTCTTATTTTAGTTTTATTAATGACGACGTTGCTTTGGTCCAGTGGCAGTACGAAAAGGATTATTTGCAAAAACCTGTGGTTTCTAATGTATTTGTGGCCGTTTTCACGGCGGCTTACGGACGATTAAAACTGTACGA